CTCATTCATTGATAGAGTTAGTATTTAGTCAACTACTTACTGATTCAAATGAGTCATTCCAAGTGAGTCTTCAGTCAACAACTCACTGACTCGAATGATCTATTCAGCGCCATTCCCTCACACTAGTATTTTTATCACATAGTGTAATAATCCATTTTTGAGCCTTGTTTAATCTTTTAAAAATATTGTATATTCATATTAGTCAGCACACTCTGCTAGTTAGTGATGGTTAACTCAAATGACCACAGGCAAAAAGAGATCTTATAAAGTGTTTATATAATAAAGCTGATGAGATGACGGTCATTAGACGGGTTCAAATCTGAACCACTAATCCAATGCAAAGCAGGTTTAAGCCCTTGTTAGTTGCCGTTAGAGATCCTGGTCGTGTCTTGATGCTAATATAGGGTAAATATGCCAGCATTTAAACTTTTGAGAAGTTTAAAATCTAGATATCATCTATATTAATTTAATGACGTTACAGAGCTACTTTAAAGTCAAATGCCTGGATTGAATTATGAACAGATGTCACTGTTTCCCACTGCATGCTCTCATGTTTATTACATGCATGAGACTGAATACAGTAAGAAACTCTCCATTAGTCAAAGTCCCCATGTTGATGACCTTTATTCTGTGTCCTGTAATAATAAAGACTCACTGGTGATGCTGGGATTACAGTGCTGGGATTATACAACACTAATGTAATGCTCCAAATAAAAAGATCAACAAGATTCATTATACATAATACACACATGCATGATGTACAGTTATATTGATATCATAATCATGCATTCATTTTCTTTTTGGCTTAGCCCTTTTAATAATCAGAGGTCACCACAGCGGAATGAACCACCAACTTTTCCAGCATATGTTTTACGTAGCAGATGCTCTTCCAGCTGCAACCCATCACTGGGAAATACCCATACACTCTCATTCACATACAAAGACTACGGATAATTTAGCTTACCCGATTCCCGTATAGCAGTGGTTCTCAACCTTTTTTCATCAAGTACCACCTCAGAAAAGAACTGTCTTTCCAAGTAGCGCAGCAGGCCCGATGAAGCAGCTACAGCGCTGCACAGTTCGAAAATGAAGCAGATCAATAATTATAAAACATATGTATTATTGTCAGCCATTTTAAACATCATAAATAGGATGGAGGAGAGAATATACTGTCTGTACATAAAAAAAAGCATTACATCTATGAGAGTCCCCATAAAGATAGCTTTATGCATGAGTGAGCGACCTTGTGTGTGTGTGTGTGCCACCCATTTTCTCAGAATAGCTCTAATTTATTTTATCGCAGTTAGTCAAACCATGATTTTTATAGTTGTAGACTTGTGGAAACCTGTCTACAAAGTCACACACGAGCTGGATATTATTGATATTTTCCAGTGTGTGTGTTACATTCCGGGTCACTACCGGTGTGTGGTACGTTCTACGTCACTTCCGGGGTGTGGTACATTCCCTTTCCGTAGGGAATCTGTAATTGTAAATTTGTTTTGGGATTTGTAAAAGTGTTTTGCGTCTTGTTAATTCGTTTTCTAAAATGTAAATTTGTTTCGTCCTTTGCAAAATTGTTTTTCCTATGTAATTTTGTCTGATGATAAGTAAAAATGTTTTTCAAAATGTAAATTTGTCTCGAGCTTTGTAAAAGTGTTTCAAACTTTGTAACCGTACCAAATGAACTACAACACAAATCAATTTTGACTTTTTTTGGTCCCCATAAATAAAACAGCTCATAAATTAGACATCATTAAGTGTTTTAAATATGTAAAAATGCTAATTATTTCCTGGGAGGCTTTATTTTAGGGGTGGAGGAGAGATTATACAGTCTGTACATTAAAACAATCATTACGTCTGGGGAGAGTCCCCGTATGCATGAGTGAGCGACTGTGTGTGTGTACCATGTATTTCAAAGGTCGTATTGGGACCACTTGATACCAAATGCACTACAACACAGTACATTTTTTAAAAAAAAATGTTGGTCTCCATAAGGAAAACAGCTCATAAATTAGACAGAATGGAGCATTTTAATTATGTAAAAATGCTAATTATTTCCTGGTTTAGGGGCAGAAGACAGAATATCCAGTCTGTACATTTTTAAAAAATCATTACGTCTATTGGGAGAGTCCCCATAAGGATAGCTGTATGCATGAGTGAGCGACTGTATGTGTGTGTGTGTACCATGTATTCCAATGGCCGTATGGACCAAATTAACTCAACACAAGTAAATTTTGACTTTTTTTGGTTCCCATAAGGAATACAGTGCATGAAGTAGACATGATTAAGTATTTTAAACATGTACAATTTTTTATTATTATTATTATATATTTTTTTGGTTTAGCGGTAGAGGAGAGAATATACTGTCTTTGCATTAAAAAAAAAATTGTTATGTCTATGAGAGTCCCCATAAAGATAGCTTTATGCATGAGTGAGCTTTTATCTCTTGCAAGAAGTGAATATGATGATGATAATAGTAATGATAATAATAAATGTTAAGCATTGGCCCCATCGGCAATGGCCGGCTGGTTTCGAGAGGGGCCGACCCAATCAGAGGTTACGTGGACGTAATCAAAATCTGGCAAGAATGTCAACCAAACAGTAAGTGCAGCACAAGATAATTGTCAGAGATGGACTGTAAAAAAGGAAAGGTGTTGCCGAAAAGCTCAGAGAAAGCAAAAGATTGCAAATGCATGAAAATTAACTGAAATAGTCTCGAAAGGGGGCAGCGCAGTGGGTAGCACTGTCACCTCACAGCGCTGTAAACAAAATCTCCATTTGTTCAGCACACTGTACTTTTTCTGTCATATACACTAAGAATAGCGAATACGAACTAATTACATAAAAATATATGTTATGTCAACAATATTCACTGAAATGTTATATCTACATGTTTAACTGACTTTTCTGGACAAACATTTTTGTGTTGAACAGGAATGTTGATATTTAAATAATTTATGCATGCGTGATGTGACGATCGAAAACTTAGTTTGTTTATCAGTTGCTTGAAAGAGGGGTGACACAGTGGCACAGTTGGTAGCACAGAAGGAAGAAGGTTGCTGGTTCGAGACGCGGCTGGGTCAGTTGGCATCATGTGGGTTTTCTCCGGGTGCTCCGGTTTCCGCCACAGTTTAAAGACGTGAGGTTCAGGTGTCTGAGTGTGAATGGATATTTGCCGGTACTGGGTTGCAGCTGGAAAGGCATGCGCTGTGTAGAACAGATGCTGAACAAGTTGGCGATTCATTCCGCTGTGGTGACCCCTGATGAGTAAAGGGACTTAGCCAAAGGAAAATAAATGGATGAAGTAGTAAGTTTGTGGTCATTTTTAAGTAAAATGATTAAAAACAGGATGATATGCTAACTAGAACTAATTACTTATTTTGCAAATTTGAAAAGAATCATCCACTAAACAGAAAAAAATGATTTGACTCATCAGCAGTAATTGTTGCTTCAGTTGATGTGACAATAATATCTTTATTAGTAAAATACAATAATCAACATTGTATAAATAAACAAAATTATGTCAGCTGAACAAAATATTGTTACTGAGAAAAACAAAAAAAAAACTGTTGTTGAGACAACTCAAAGTTCTTACTGCATCAAGTTGCCTTATTTTTTTATGTTTTCTCAACAATTTATTTTTTACAGTGAGCAAGAAGTTCAATGGTTCGAGCCTCGGCTGGGTCAGTTGGTGTTTTTGTGTGGAGTTTGCACATGTTCGTGTGGGTTTCCCTCACAAGTCCAAACAGGAGCTATAGGTGAATTGGGTTACACATATGGGTAACACACAGGCCCGGATTGGCTAATTGGGAGGACCGGGAGAATTCCCGGTGGGCCGGTCCGTTTTTTGGCCGCGAGGGCCGGTATCCCTAGCTCCAGAATTGATTGCTCTCAGCAGTCACACTTTTTAAATTAATTTATTTATTTACTTGACCATAGCCTTTTTATTCATTATTTTACCGCAGCGCTACTCTTTTTATCTATGTTCTTGCAGTTCAGTGAGCAAGTTGCAGCCTGCAGGTTAATGATGATATAACTTGGTCAATTTGCCTTGAACAGCCGTTATGGTTCAGTGGATAGCATGTTAATTTTCGACCCCGCAGACCAGGGTTCGATCCTCGCCTGAGTAATTTTTATTTTTATTGTTAAGACATATGATACTGTAAGGGTTGTTGAACATTTGAAGTTCTAAAGCAGCTGTTTTCTTGAAAAAAGACGTGATAGTGTCATTAGAAACTAAATTGGAAATGATCTTATTTTAATATAGTCAGTCGTGAACTGAGGTGGGCCGGTCTGAGGCTTGAAACTCCAGGGCTGAAAAGGAGTCCCACTCCGGCCCTGGTAACACACATATGCTGATAAGTTAGTGGTTCATTCTGCTGTGGCGATCTCAGATTAATAAAGGGACCAAGCCGAAAAGAAAATGAATGAATGAAATGATTGATGTATAAATTTGTTATAAATGGGTTGTTTTTGTTCCAGTCACATACATTAAAAGTTTAAATATATATTACATAAGGTACTGCTTATATTATTTCACCATCTGTGCACCTATATAAGTAGTAAATGTGTGTGTCCGTGGATAGGGCTGTGTCGGTGTGGTAATATGGGCTGGTGTGGCTACAGTGCCAGGGCTGATTTTTAGTCCCAGTCTGCCCCTGGCTGTATGCATGAGTGAGTGACTGTGTGTGTGTATAACATGTATTCCAATGGTCGTAGGGACCAAATGAACTCAACACAAGTAAATTTTGACTTTTTTTTTTTTTTGGTCCCCATAAGGAAAACAGCTCATAAATTATACTAAATTAAATATTTTAAATGTGTAAAAATGCAAATTATTTCCTGTTTTAGGGGGAAGAAGAAAGAATATACAGTCTGTGCATTAAAAAAAAGCATTACGTCTATGGAGAGTCCCCACAAAGATAGCTGTACGAGCGAGTGACTGTGTGTGTGTGGGATCGGGATAATCCGTGTAACCCTTCATTGTCCGTGAATCTCCTCCGTCTGCTGCAGTCGGTTGTTTATTCCTCGGTTCCCCCGGAGCAGCACCGGGTCTCCTTTAAATCTCGCTGGTGATTCTGATGTTTACGGCGGAGCAGACGGAGATCCGCATGGCCGGTGCTGCCGCTGAGGAGAAACACAGATCATCATCATCATCATCTTCATCTGAAAGGATGCGGGTTTCCTCCATCATGCTGGCTGTCCGTGTGTGATCGCGGCTTGATTCTTCTGGGCTGAGATGGTTCGGGTGGTCAGTGTTTTGGGGCTGGTGATGTTCAGCGTTGCTTTATTAATTTTGTCATTGATCAGCTACGTCTCCATCAAGAAGGACTTCATCTTCACCGCCCCGAAATACGCCAACGCCGGCGGCCCGCGGATGTACATGTTCCACGCGGGATTTCGGTGAGTCTGTTTATTCAACACACTCTCACACACACTCGTTTGTGCTTGTGTGTGTGTGCGCGCATCAAAAAAGAGGACGTTTGTGTTGTGTTTGTGTGCTGATGTAAGCTACATGCGGATTAATATGATTACATTTTTTTTTTGGAAAGGCCTCTTGTCCTTCTGTCATGATGCTCAACGCGCATGCGCAGTTCAGTCCTGGATCCTCATCATGGGCTAACCTACATTCTCATATTTCGCAGAGTAATGATTTCAGCGCGTGCACTGACAATGATTCAAAGCTATTTATATTGGCTGAGTTCAAATAAAGAATTTAAGTTATATTTCTTAATTTAGTTTGTTTAAATTTACATTATTTGCAACCTCTTAGATTTAAAAAAAAAAAGTAAATTCTATTAATAGTTTTGTAGTGCAACTGACTGCATTCATATTCAATACGCACTAACCGGCCATTTTATTAGGTACACCTGTCCGACTGCTCAGTAATGCAAATATCTAATCAGCTAATAACATGGCAGCAGCTCAATGCATTTAGGCATGTAGACATGGTCAAGAGGATCTGCTGCAGTTCAAAGCGAGCATCAGAATGGGGAAGAAAGGGGATTTAAGTGACTTTGAAAGTGGCATGGTTTATCATCGGCCTGACAAGTTTTAATTGGATGTACAATTTTTTAGTCTTGTGCATCACGCAGAATATAAAAATACACATAAACACATTTTGATCATTTACTTTGATCATCGCTATTGGAATGTAAAGAGACTTTCAAATAGCACAACAGCACATGTTTCTGAAGACGACCAATCACCTACTGCAGCAGGGTTGGATTGGCCATCTGGCAATTCTGGAAAATGCCAGTAGGGCCGGACCATTTTTAAAATGTGGGCCGGTCAGTTTTTCATTTTAATTCATTCATTCATTCATTTATTTTCTTGTCGGCTTAGTCCCTTTATTAATCCTGGGTCTCCACAGCGGAATGAACCCCCAACTTATCCAGCAAGTTTTTACGTTTTTTCCAGCCGCAACCCATCTCTGGCAAACATCCACACACACTCATTCACACACACACTCATACACTACGGACAATTTAGCCTACCCAGTTTACCTGTACCGCATGTGTTTGGACTGTGGGGGAAGCTGGAGCACCTGGAGGAAACCCACGCCAACGCAGGGAGAACATGCACACTGAAACGCCAACTGAGCCGAGGCTCGAACCAGCGACCCAGCAACCTTCTTGCTGTGAGGCGACCGCACTACCTACCTATCATGATGACAATAGTAAGTAGTAGTAATTATAATAATACCTGTTAAGCATTTGGCCCAATCAGCGACAGCTGGCTGAGTTCGAGATGGGTCGACCCAATCAGAGGTTTTGCAGATGTAATCAAAATCTGGCAAGAACGTCAAACAAACAGTAAGTGCAACACAAGCTAATTGTCAGAGATGGACTGTAAAAAAGGAAAGGCGGTGCTGAAAAGGTCTGAGAAAGCAAAAAAATGGCTCTACACTGCAAAAAATGAACTGATATATTCACGAAAGGGGGCAACGTGGTAGCACAGTGGGTGGCGTTGTCGGCTCACAGCAAGGAGGTCGCTGGTTTGAGCCTCGGCTGGTTTTCTTTGTGGAGTTTGCATGTTCTCCCCGTGTTCGCGTGGGTTTCCTCCAGGTGCTCCGGTTTCCCCCACAGTCCAAACACATGCGCTATACACTGAAAAAAGTGCTGCATGCAAAACTGTTGCAAACAATTTATATGTGTTGAATTTAAACTAACAAATGAAATTTGATATTGTTCAGCTTAATTTGTTTGTTTAAATTCAGCCCAAATAAATTGTTTACAAACACTTAACGTAAAAAAAAAAATTGTCCATAGTGAATGTTTCGTGCCCGCGCTGTTCTCGCGTGAAAAGCCGCTGGAGGCCGCTGTGGAGCAACCGTGCTTCCGACTGGCTGTCTGAACGACCGAACGATCGACCAGGCGGCCGCCGATCAGCCGACCCAGCTACCCTCCTCTTCCTCCTCCTCCTTCCCTAAACCCAAGCGACAGTTTGCAAAAGCCGTCCAGAAAAATAAAGCAAAAGCAATCGTCTTTGATTTCGACCGCGTTTTCGGATCTCGCCGCGTTCTCGCCCTTATTTTTTGGATTCTGTTTTTCATCTTACCTGATTTCTGGAACCGCTGTTCCCCGGACTCGATGCTGGTCGTCCCCTCCTCCTCCGGGCCTCCACTCCGCCAACGAAACGATGCGAGCTAAGCGGACAAACTGGTTGCATCGGGAAAGCCCTCCACTCGGAGGCGAGCCGTCAGCCGGTGAGCGCGAAGAGGAGGAGCGGCGTCACACCGCTCCGCAGCGTTCTTTAAAAAAAAACTAAACGCGGCCGTACGTACCTCCGGCCACGTAAATCGCAGTCTCCAGAAACGTCCGCGGGGCTACGTTTCCAGAATGAGCTTGGATTGTGAATGTGTGTGCATGGGTGTTTTCCAGTGATGGGTTGCAGCTGGGAGGGCTGAGACAGCAGAATAAAGGGACTGAGACAAAAAGAAAATGAATGGATGTATAAATTTGTTGTAAACGGGTTGTTTTTGTTCCAGTCACATGCATTAAATGTTTAAATATCAGCTGCATATGGTACTGCCGGGCATGTCCGTGGGTGGGGCTGTGTCAGAGTGGTAAAGTGGGCTGGTGTGGTGCCAGTGCTGTTTTTTTGTCCCAGTCTGCCCCTGTACTGCGCCTTTAAATTGCACGTTAAGCTGAATGCTAGTATCTTGCAGAAATATTATGTGCTGTCATCATGGCAAAGACCAAAGAAATTAGTTATTAAGAATTAGTTAGAGGCGGTTCATTCTGCTGTGGCAATTAAGGGACTAAGCTGAAAAGAAAATGAATGAATGAATACGTTAGTTGAATCGATTATGCTTTAAAAAAGTTTTAAAAAAGAGCAAATATTTGGAAAAGAATTAAAATTTCACAGAAGTCTATATCTATATCTATTTAAAGAGAGGGAGAGAGTGTGTGTGTGAGATTGTATGTACTGTAGTGTACAGTGAAAGATGGAGCTGCTCTGATCGCTGTCCTTGGTCCTGATTTACTTCTCTGGCAGCTTCATTTCTGTCAGTAATCAGACACATTCACCACAGTCAAGGTTACAGAGCAGAAGATATGATGACCGTGTGTTATTATTATTCACCTTCATAACTGTGAGTCATCTGAACTCCAGCCAGTGCAGAGACAACAGGCCAAAACCAGCAGATCTGAAGAGGTTGAGCCGGTTAATACAGTAGCAGAGGCTTGACGAGATATTGGTTACATTCTGTTTAAGTTTATTTATTATAAACTTTTGGAGTTGTAATAGCACTTTTGACAATAATTATTGTCCGTACATTTTTGCATTACAGTCAAATTTGGAAAAATTAAGGTTATTAGTTACCATAACTTTATTAGTTACTAATAACTTTTGGACTGTTTTGTGCCTATGAATGAAGCCCTGAGTCTACATCTTTAAAATAGCAATATATCATGTACAGTTCTAATATTATAATGGTTTTTACTTGTTTTTAAACAATTTAGGTAAAATTATTTAAGCAGAATATATTTGCTAATACATTTAAGAATACATTTTGCTAATACTTTACAGAATATAATTGTAATACAATTGACACATTTCTGCAATTGTTTTAATTAAAAAAGGTTTAAATAGATATAAATTTGTATAAAAAGTATACTAAATAAAACATTTTTATAGAACAACAACTGCAAAAAACACCATTTCAGTGTTTAAAATGTCATGTTTATTCTTGCATTTCTTGGGATTTATTTATAATTTGTGCAAACCCTCAGTGAAAACCATTTCTACACTAGTTGATTTTCCAGTGTACCAATTTCCACATAAATCAGAGCATCCAGATGGATTGTTTGAAGCCTTTGAGTGGAACCGCGAGTCTGTAAAAGAGTGAATATATGGTCAAAATTCTAAATTTTTAGCCTGAGAGCACTGTTTCAATTTTTCACCTTCAGAATATCATGTTTATTCTTGCATTTCTTGGAATTAATTCAGAATTTCAGCAAACTCTCAGTGAAACCATTTCTACACTAGTTGATTTTCCGGTGTACCAACTTCCCCATAATTCAGAGCATCCTGATGGATTGTTTGAAGCCTTTGAACAAAGCCCTGAGTCTGTGTAAAACAGTGAATATATGGTCAAAATGATAAATTATTAGCTTGAAAGCACTGTTTCTCCTTTTTTATCTTTATTTTTTGCCTTCAAAATGTCGTGTTTAATCTTGTGTTTCTTGGTATTAATTCAAAATTTCTGCAAACTCTCAGTGAAAACCATTTCTACACTAGTTGATTTTCCAGGGTATCAATTTCCCCATGAATCAGAGCATCCTGATGGATTGTTTTGTGCCTATGTAAAAGCAGTGAGTCTGTGTTTTTATAAGAGCAATTATTTAATCTTCAAATGTAAATTCATTTATATAATAAATGTAAAGCATTATTTAATTTTAGAAGGGTATTTAATTGTTTCTAAACAACTTTTTTTACAAGTCTAGGTAAAATGATTTTGATTACATTTATTCGTCAGTGTTAAATTTTAATGCAAAATTTACTCAATTGTTTTATTTAAAAAGAGCTTTTGAATAGATTCAAATTGATGTAAAGTGGTGTAAAAAGTATCTGAAATAAAAGAACTGATAATTAAACAACAAGGAAAAACACTTTTTCAATTTTTGCCTTCTAAGAGTCATGTTTAATCTTGCGTTTCTTGGTATTAATTAAGAATCGTGACAAACTCTCAGTGAAAACCATTTCTACACTAGTTGATTTTCCAGTGTACCAATTTTCCCATAAATCAGAGCATCCTGATGGATTGTTTTGTGCCTATATGATAAAAGCAGTGAGTCTGTGTTTTTATAAGAGCAATTATTTAATCTTCAAATGTAAATTCATTTATATAATAAATGTAAAGTAATATTTAATGTTATAAGGGATTTTAATTGTTTCTAAACAACTTTTTTTAGAAGTCTAGGTAAAATGATTTTGATTACATTTATTCGTCAGTGTTAAATTTTAATGCAAAATTTACTCAATTGTTTTATTTAAAAAGAGCTTTTGAATAGATTCAAATTGATGTAAAATGGTGTAAAAAGTATCTGGAATAAAAGAACTGATAATTAAACAACAAGAAAAAAAAACACTATTTCAGTTTTCGCCTTCTAAGTGTCATGTTTAATCTTGTGTTTCTTGGTATTAATTAAGAATTGTGACAAACTCTCAGTGAAAACCATTTCTACACTAGTTAATTTTCCAGTGTACCAATTTCCCCATAAATCAGAGCATCCTGATGGATTACTTGAAGCCTATGAATGAAGCTTTGAGTCTGTGTAAAGGAGTGAATATATGGTCAAATTATTTATTATTAACCTGAAAGCACTATTTCAGTTTTTTACTTTCAAAGTGTCATGTTTATTTTTGCGTTTCTAGGCATTTATTTATAATTTTAACAAACTCTCAGTGAAAACCATTTCTACACTAGTTGATTTTCCAGGGTACCAATTTCCCCATAAATCAGAGCATCCTGATGGATTGTTTTGTGCCTATGAAAAAAGCAGTGAGTCTGTGTTTTTATAAGAGCAATTATTTTGTCTTTAAATGTAAATTCATTAATATAATAAATGTAAAGTAATATTTAATGTTATAAGGGATTTTAATTGTTTCTAAACAACTGTTTTTAGAAGTCTGGGTAAAATGATTTTGATTACATTTATTCGTCAGTGTTAAATTTTAATGCAAAATTTACTCAATTGTTTTATTTAAAAAGAGCTTTTGAATAGATTCAAATTGATGTAAAATGGTGTAAAAAGTATCTGGAATAAAAGAACTGATAATTAAACAACAAGTAAAAACACTATTTCAGTTTTTGCCTTCTAAGTGTCATGTTTAATCTTGCGTTTCTTGGTATTAATTAAGAATTGTGACAAACTCTCAGTGACAATTATTTCTACACTAGCTGATTTTCCAGTGTACCAAATTCCCCATAAATCAGAGCATCCTGATGGATTGTTTTGTGCATATGAGAAAGCAGTGAGTCTGTGTTTTTATAAGAGCAATTATTTTATCTTCAAATGTAAATTCATTTAAATAATTTATGTAAAGTAATATTCATTTTTTAAGGGTTTTTAATTGTTTCTAAACAACATTTATTAAAAGTCTAGGTAAAATGGTTTTGATGTAATTTGTTCGTCAGTGTTAAATTTTAATGCAAAATAGTTTGATCTAAAAATAACTTTTAAATAGAAGTAAATTGATTTAAATTGGTGCAAAAAGTATGTGAAATTAAAGAACTGATAATTAAACTACAGAAAAAAACACTATTTTAGTTTTTCGCCTTCTAAGTGTCATGTTTAATCTTGCGTTTCTCCTGTTTTATCTTTATTTTTTGCCCTCAAAGTGTCGTGTTTAAACTTGCATTTCTTGGTATTAATTCAGAATTTGAGCAAACTCTCAGTGAAAACCATTTCTACACTAGTTGATTTTCTAATGTACCAATTTCCCCATAAATCAGAGCATCCTGATAGATTACTTGAAGCCTTGTAACGAAGCCGTGAGTCTGTGTAAAACACTAAATATTTGGACAAAATTATAAAATTACAGCTTAAAGCACTGTTTCTCCTGTTTTATCTTTATTTTTTGTCTTCAAAATGTCATGTTTAATCTTGCATTTCTTGGTATTAATTAAGAATTGTGACAAACTCTGAGTGAAAACCATTTCTACACTAGCTGATTTTCCAGTGTACCAATTTCCCCATAAGTCAGAGCATCCTGATGGATTGTTTTGTGCCTATGAATGAAGCCCTGAGTCTGTAACCCAGAACGCGGCTCTGACCTCTGCGGCCGTAACCCAGACTCAAATAACTTCGTTAATGAAACGGAACAAGCTTTAACAAATGAGAGCTGGGAAGCGGGCAGGCGTGGAGTCTGAAAGCGGCTGTTTAATTAGAGCGGGCATGAAGAGCCGCGGGCGCGAGCTGACTGACAGCGCTCTGGATGGCTCACATTGATTTAAAGCACTCTCAGCTGCTGCCATCAGCGGGACGTCCCTTCCTGTCAAGCGGAAACACAAACTCTGTTCATTTCCTCTGTCTGTGCGTCTTCTCTTCACGCAGGTCCCAACTGGCCATGAAGTTTCTGGATCCTGCGTTCACATCGCTGAATACTGCGCTCAACGAGAACCTGCAGGAGTCCAGCAACTGGAGGTTCAACAGGAGCGCTTATGCAGAGCTCAGGTCGACTAATCAACAGAACACAATGCATTACAGAAACAAACATACACAGTTGAAGTCAGAATTATTCGCCCCCCTTTGAGTTTTTTTTTTCTTTTTAAATATTTCCCAAATGGTGTTGAACAGATTAAGGAAATGTTCACAGTATGTCTGATAATATTTGTTTTTCTGGTGAAAGCCTTATTTGTTTTATTTTGGCTAGAATAAAAGCAGTTTTCAAATTTTTAAGAACTATTTTAAGATCAATATTATTAGCCCTTTTAAGCTATGCATTTCCTGATAGTCTACAGAACAAACCATCGTTATACAATAACTTGCCTAATTACCCTAACCTGCCTAGTTTACTTTTTTTTTTTTTTTTTTTTTTTTTTTATTAGAATATGCAAAAATCATACAAATACAAGAAAACGTCAACAAATAACAAATACAAAGCAACGAAACAAAAACAAAACAAAAACAACAACAATATAGTCATGTACTGGTATGTGCGTGTGTGTGTGAGTGTGAGTGTGTGTATGCATGTAAAGGTAACTTGGTGGACAGGTCAGAGTACATACATAAGGAACAATAACAGTCAATAAATGAAGCAAGTGTCACAGATATAGATAAAACATATAGAAAGAAACCAGTCAGAGGTAGGGAGTAACAACAATGCTTATTAATGTATGATAGTAAAAATTAGAGTAAAAAGAAAGAAAGGACAACAGTAATAACTGACAACAATAATAATAAATCACAAGTGCTACACAACTGCCTAGTTTACTTAATAGCCTAATTAACCTAGTTAAGCCTTTAACTTTCCTGTCGTGTTCGGGTCAAATCCGACCAATTTACAACTTAAATCACTCATAAACATTGTGTTTTACATCTTATTGGCCTTATGATATCCTCCACGCTGTGCACTTGAACATATATAAAAGTGACGATCATCTCTTTCATTGAATTTTGAGTGTTTTAAATTAACTCTGTTACACCTGGGGTGTTCCCGGTCAAAAGTGACCGCCATAGGAAATGAATGGGTATCCAGGCTATATTCATTCACCAGTCAGAAAACCTCCCCACACACACTACCCCAACTCACTCACTCACTCACTCACTCACTCACTCACTCACTCACTCACTCACTCACTCACTCACTCACTCACTCACTCAAAAAGAAATAGAATCTTGTTTTCTTCTTTCTTTCTTTCTTTTCTTTCTTTCTTTCTTTCTTTTATTTCTTTCTTTTCTTTCTTTCTTTTCTTTTTTCTTTCTTTCTTTCTTTCTTTCTTTTCTTTTTTCTTTCTTTCTTTCTTTCTTTTCTTTCTTTCTTTTCTTTTTTTCTGTCTTTCTTTCTTTTCTTTCTTTCTTTTCTTTTTTTCTTTCTTTTCTTTCTTTCTTTTCTTTTTTCTTTCTTTCTTTCTTTCTTTCTTTCTTTCTTTCTTTTCTTTCTTTCTTTTCTTTTTTTCTTTCTTTCTTTCTTTTCTTTCATTCTTTTCTTTTTTTCTTTCTTTCTTTTCTTTTTTTCTTTCTTTCTTTCTTTCTTTCTTTCTTTCTTTCTTTCTTTCTTTCTTTTCTTTCTTTCTTTTCTTTCTTTCCTTTCTTTCTTTCTTTCTTTTCTTTCTTTCTTTTCTTTTTTTCTTTCTTTCTTTCTTTCTTTCTTTCTTTCTTTCTTTCTTTCTTTCTTTCTTTCTTTCTTTCTTTTCTTTCTTTCCTTTCTTTCTTTCTTTCTTTCTTTTCTTTCTTTCTTTTCTTTTTTTCTTTCTTTCTTTCTTTCTTTCTTTCTTTCTTTTCTTTTTTACTTTCTTTTCTTTTCTTTTCTTTTCTCTCTAGTCACAAATGTCAACACGTGCACAGCTCTGCACTATCCGACAAACAATTTGTTCAAAGCACACAAAGCAAGAGTGACCAAACAAAGATCAGAAGGCCACAGCCATATCACCTTTTAGAGCTAGGACCGGTTATTCTGGTCAGCCTGGGCAGTAGCTGGATGGGAGACCACATGGGAAAACTAGGTTTCTGTTGGAAGTGGTGTTAGCGAGGCCAGCAGGAGGTGCTCAGCCTGCGTTCTGTGTACATCTTAATGCCCCAGTATAGTGAATGGGACACCGTACTGTCAGTGAGCGCCGTCTTTTGGATGAGACGTTAAACCGAGGTCCTGACTCTCTGTGCTCATTAATAGTCCAATGACACGGGTGTTTCCCTCCACTGACCCTTACCCATCTTAGCCTCCCAATCATCCCGATCCATCTAATTGGCTTTATCACCGTCTCTCCACTCCAATAGCTGTTGTGTGATGAAGCACTGGTGCCGTTGTCCTGTGGCTGCCGTCTCATCATCCAACACTTGTGGGCGAGACCCCCCTCATGACTGTGAATTCCTTTAGTGTATGGCCATACATGATAAATGCGCTATATAAATACACACATTACATTATAAAGATGGCCGTCAAGAAAGTTGTGTCACAGCTTTACACTGTAGGCCAATCAGAATTGAGCAACCAGTCTGAAGTAACCAATCAGGCATTTCCCTGGCAGAGGAGAGAGAGACAGACAACTCAATTCAAGTTTTAAGTGTACGCTCAACCTCATTGAACGTGTACACATGGACATCACCTTTATCAAACTCAGTCCTGGAGGGCTGGTGTCCTAATCAAACACACATGAAATAGTTAAGCTCTTACTAGATATACTAGAATCCTCCTTTCAGTGTGTTGCAGCAAGTTGGAGCTAAACTCAACAGGACACCGGCCCTCCAGGACCGAGTTTGGACACCCCTGACCTATATACTGTATAACTGCGGGTTAACTATGTTTATATACAAGTACTTTACCTGTTAAAAGCGATTAGTTAATGAATTTAATTGAATCATTAGTGACTCTGTTGACTCTATTCTGATGTTGTTCTTGTTGTGTCTATTTTCCAGTAAAGAGATCGCGCAGCATATTGACGTGCCGCACAACTTCACCCTGACCAAGAACAGCGTCCGCGTGGGTCAGTTAATGCACTACGACTACTCCAGTCACAAATACGTCTTCTCCATTGGGGAGAACCTCAGGTCTCTGCTTCCGGATGCTTCTCCCGTCCTCAACAAACGCTACAACACTTGCGCGGTAGTGGGAAACAGCGGGATCCTCACCGGCAGCCGATGTGGTCCTGAAATCGACAAATATGACTTTGTCTTCCGCTGTAATTTCGCGCCCACCGAAGTCTTCCGTCGAGACGTGGGGCGCCGGACCAACCTCACCACCTTTAACCCCAGTATTCTGGAGAAATACTACAACAACCTGCTGACCATCCAGGACAGGAACAACTTCTTCCTCAGTTTGAAGAAGTTGGACGGCGCCATCTTATGGATCCCGGCCTTTTTCTTTCACACGTCTGCCACAGTGACGCGAACACTTGTCGATTTCTTTGTCGAGCACAAGGGGCAGCTGAAAGTACAGCTAGCCTGGCCGGGAAACATCATGCAGTATGTCAACAGGTAAGAGATTTTGAGATTGTTTTAATTTTAAGATGTAAAGTTGCAATTGTATTAATTTGTGGAATGTAAACTCACAATTCTGTCAGTAAAACTTGGATTTCACAGAAAAAAAACTCAGAATTGCGGAATGTAAACTCACTTAGAACTCCGACACTAAACACTCGGAATTCTCAAAAAAAAGTCGGAATTGCGGAATGTAAACTCACATACAATTCTGACATTAAAAACTTTGAATTCCCCCAAAAAAAGTCGTAATTGCGTAATGTAAACTCACAATTCCGACATTAAAAACTCAAAATTCTCAGAAAAAAGCAGAAATTGCGGAATGTAAACTCACATACAATTCTGACATTAAAAACTCAGAATTCTCAGAAAAAAGTCGGAATTGCAGAAGGTAAACTCACTTACAATTCTGACATTAAATACTCAGAATTCCCAGAAAAAAGTCGGAATTGTGGAATGTAAACTCGCCTAAAATTCTGACAATAAATACTCAGAATTCTCAGAAAAATGTCATAATTGCGGAATGTAAACTTACTTACAATTCTGACATTAAATACTCAGAATTCAAGGAAAAAGTCGGAGTTGCGGAATGTAAACTCACAATTCTGACATTAAATATTCAGAATTCTCAGAAAAAAGTCGGAATTGCGGAATGTAAGCTCACCTAAAATTCTGACATTAAATACTCAGCATTCCCAGAAAAATGTCGGAATTGCGGAATGTAAACTTACTTACAATTCTGACATTAAAAACTCGGAATTCTCAGAAAAAAGTCGGAATTGCAGAAGGTAAACTCACTTACAATTCTGACATTAAAAACTCAGAATTCTCAGAAAAAAGTCGGAATTGCGGAATGTAAACTCACTTACAATTCTGACATTAAAAACTCAGAATTCTCAGAAAAAAGTCGGAATTGCGGAATGTAAACTCACATACAATTCTGACATTAAAAACTTTGAATTCCCCAAAAAAAAGTCGTAATTGCGTAATGTAAACTCACAATTCCGACATTAAAAACTCAAAATTCTCAGAAAAATGTCATAATTGCGGAATGTAAACTTACTTACAATTCTGACATTAAATACTCAGAATTCTCAGAAAAAAGGCGGAATTGCGGAATGTAAACTCACATACAATTCTGACATTAAATACTCAGCATTCCCAGAAAAAAGTCGGAATTGTGGAATGTAAACTCGCCTAAAATTCTGACAATAAATACTCAGAATTCTCAAAAAAAAGTCATAATTGCGGAATGTAAACTTACTTACAATTCTGACATTAAATACTCAGAATTCTCAGAAAAAAGTCGGAATTGCGGAATGTAAACTCACCTAAAATTCTGACATTAAATACTCAGCATTCTCAGAAAAAAGTCGGAATTGCAGAAGGTAAACTCACTTACAATTCTGGCAATAAAAACTCAAGATTTCTCAGAAAAATGTCGGAATTGCGTAATGTAAACTCACTTACAATTCTGACTTTAAATACTCAGAATTCCCAGAAAAATGTCATAATTGCGGAATGTAAACTCACTTACAATTCTGACATTAAATACTCAGAATTCCCAGAAAAAAGTCGGAATTGCGGAATGTGAGCTCACCCAAAATTCTGACATTAAATGCTCAGAATTCCCAGAAAAATGTTGGAATTACGGAATGTAAACTCACAATTCTGTCATTAAAAACTCAGAATTCCCAGAAAAAGTCGGAATTGCGAAATGTAAACTCACCTACAACTCTCACATAAATACTCAGAAATCCTACAAAAATGTTGTAATTGCGGAATGTAAACTCACCTACAATTTTAACATTAAATACTCAGAATTCCCAGAAAAATGTCATAATTGCGGAAGGTAAACTCACTTACAATTCTGACATTAAATACTCAGCATTCCCAGAAAAAAGTCGGAATTGCGGAATGTGAGCTCACCCAAAATTCTGACATTAAATGCTCAGAATTCCCAGAAAAATGTTGGAATTACGGAATGTAAACTTACAATTCTGTCAATAAATACTCAGAATTCCCAGAAAAATGTCATAATTGCGGAATGTAAACTCACTTACAATTCTGACATTAAATACTCAGCATTCCCAGAAAAAAGTCGGAATTGCGGAATGTGAGCTCACCCAAAATTCTGACATTAAATGCTCAGAATTCCCAGAAAAATGTTGGAATTACGGAATGTAAACTCACAATTCTGTCATTAAAAACTCAGAATTCCCAGAAAAAGTCGGAATTGCGAAATGTAAACTCACCTACAACTCTCACATAAATACTCAGAAATCCTACAAAAATGTTGTAATTGCGGAATGTAAACTCACCTACAATTTTAACATTAAATACTCAGAATTCCCAGGTAAAAGTCGGAATTGCGGATTGTAAACTCACAATTCCAACATTAAAAACTCAGAATTCCCAGAAAAATGTTGGAATTGCGGTATGTAAACTCACCTAAAATTCTGACATTAAAAACTCAGAATTCCCAGAAAAAAAGTTGGATTGCGAAATGTAAACTTACTTACAATTCTGACATTAAATACTCCGAATTCCTTGAAAAAAGTCGGAATTGTGGGATGTAAACTCACTTTCAATGCTGACATTAAATACTGAGAATTATTAGAAAAAAGTCAGAATTGTGGGATGTAAACACAATTTTGACATTAAAAAACTTGGAATTCCCAGAAAAAATCAGAATTGCTGAACGTAAACCCACTTAAAATTCTGAGTAAAACAGTCCGAATTGCCACACGTTAACTCAGAATGCAGAGGAAAAAGTCGGAAATACAAATTCTAGACTCTAGAATTTTCACTTCTGGAAAGGGTTTCTTTCAATGTCAGCAACTGGCTTTTCCATTATAATGTGTCGAGCTGAAAACTCTTAAGTGTACATGACGATGGAAGGAGTTACTCGGTTTAACCCTCATTCTCAGAACTGAGCGGATGTCCTGTAATCTGCTCCAATCCCATTAAACTGAGTCCTTGTGTGGCGACAGATTTAAGCATGTAAGACGCTCACAAACTCCTCAAGGAGATTAGAGATACTCGCTTTAACAGTACCAGAGGAATAAAGACGGATCTCATTGTAGACACATGAAGAGAGGAGCTCATGCTTCAGTTATAATGATAGTTTTTGCTTTTTGACCTTTGATTCACAGAATTAAAAACGCTTATAATGTTATAAATCATCGTATATATTTGATCTGGAATCGGTTATTTAGTAAATTCATTATTTATTAATTCAAGTTGTATCAAGTGATTGGATTTTGTTTAGGGTTAATGATGTTTTAGAACTTGAAGTTATTGCAGAAATAAAGAGTTGAGCATTGAGTGTGTGAGTGTAGTGTGTGTGTAGTGTGTTTCAGTGTTGTATGATTGTATAGTTTCCAATTTATATATATATATATATATATATATATATATATATATATATATATATATATATATATTTATTTATTTATTTATTTATTCTCACCGGCCACTTTATTAGGTACACCTTACTAGTACCGGGTTGGACCCTTTTGCCTTCAGAACTTCTTTAATCCATCATGGCGTCGATTCAACAAGATACTGGAAATATTCCTCAGAGATTTTGCTCCATATTGACATGATAGCATCACACAGTTGCTGCAGATTTGTCGGCTGCACATCCATGATGCCAATCTCCCGTTCCACCACATCCCAAAGCTGCTCTATTGGATTGAGCTCTGGTGACTGTGGAGGCCATTTGAGTACAGTGAACTCATCGTCATGTTCAAGAAACCAGTCTGAGATGATTCACGCTTTATGACATGCTGCGTTATCCTGCTGGAAGTAGCCATCAGAAGATGGAGACACTGTGCTCATAAAGGGATGGACATGGTCAGCAGCAATACTCAGGTAGGCTGTGGCGATGATGCTCAATTGGTACTAATGGACCCAAAGTGTGCCAAGAAAATCTCCCCCACACCATTACACCACCACCACCAGCCTGAACCGCTGATACAAGGCAGGATGGATCCATGCTTTCATGTTGTTGAGGCCAAATTCTGACCCGAGCATCTGAATGTGTCAGCAGAAATGGAGACTCATCAGAGCAGCAACGTTTCTCCAATCTTCTATTGTCCAGTTTTGGTGAGTCTGTGTGAATTGTAGCCTCAGTTTCCTGTTCTTAGCTGACAGGAGCGGCACCCGGTGTGCTCTTCTGCTGCTGTAGCCCATCCGCCTCAAGGTTGGACATGTTGTGTGTTCAGAGATGCTCTTCTGCAGAGCTCGGTTGTAGCGAGTGCTTATTTGAGTTACTGTTGCCTTTCTATCAGCTGGAACCAGTCTGGCCATTCTCCTCTGACCTCTGGCATCAACAAGGCATTTGCGCCCACAGAACTGCCGCTCACTGGATATTTCCTCTTTGTTGGACCATTGTCTGTAAACCCTAGAGATGGTTGTGCGTGAAAATCCCAGTAGATCAGCAGTTTCTGAAATACTCAGAGCAGCCCGTCTGGCACCAACAACCATGCCACATTCAAAGTCACTTAAATCCCCTTTCTTCCCCATTCTGATGCTCGCTTTGAGCTGCAGCAGATCGTCTTGACCATGTCTACATGCCTAAATGCATTAAGCTGCTGCCATGTGATTGGCTGATTAGAAATTTGCGAGCAGTTGGACAGGCGTACATAATAAAGTAGCTGTTGAATGTGTGTGTGTATGTGTGTGTGTGTATATATATATATATATATATATATATATATATATATATATATATATATATATATATATATATATATATATATATATATATATATATAATATATATCTATCTATCTATCTATATATATATATATATATATATATATTATATATATATATATATATATATATATATATATATATATATATATAGATAGATAGATATATACGTGTGTGTGTGTGTGTGTGTGTGTGTGTGTGTGTGTGTTTGTTTGTTTATGTAGAGTGTCTGTGTGTGTTTGTGTAGTGTGTGTAGTGTGTATAATGTGTGTGAGCGCTGCTAGGACTGGATTAGCGATGCTGGCTGAATTAACCTTGCTCTGAGCGCCGCCGCTGAACACACACGATCTGCTGACCTTCATGGACGTGTTGATGTGTGTGTGTGTGTGTGTGTGTGTGTTTCTCCAGTTGTTCTCCTGGACACATTAGCTCTGTTACCTCAGGCTTTCTGGGTAAACGTTGTGCTTTACTGCCAATAACTGCACATGAGAGCATCAGTCTGCATTCAGGGTTCAGATAAAGCTCTTATCTGCCGTACAGTTAAAGTCAGGATTATTAGCCCCTCTGTTTATTTTTTTCCTTCAATGTCTGTTTAACGGAGCAAATTTGTTCAGCACATTTCTAATCATAATAGTTTTAATAACTCATCTCTAATAACTGATTTATTTTCTCTTTGTCATGATGACAGTAAATAATATTAGACTACATATTCTTCAAGACACTTCTATACAGCTTAAAGTGACATTTAAAGGCTTCACTAGGTTAATTAGGTTAAGGTTAGGGTTAATAGGCAAGTCATTGTATAATGATGATTTGTTCTGTAGACTAACGGAAAATATATAGCTGAAAGGGGCTAATAATATTGACCCTAAAATGCTTTTCAAAAAATTTATAAGTGCTTTAATCCTTGTCGAAATAAAACAAATAAGACTTTCTCCGGAAGTAAAAATAATATCAGACACACTGTGAAAATTTCCATGCTCTGTTAAACATAATTTAGGAAATATTTAAAAAAAAGAAAACTAAATTCAAAGGGGGGTTGGGGGGGTAATAATTCTGACTTTTAACTGTATATGGAATAAGGATGAATAAAGATGAAATCTATAGATAATGTAGTCCAGTTGGGTCATCTTCTGTGGTAACTGGTGTCATTTGATTTTTCCTGAAACTTTCATCATCTAAGTATGTAAAATTGTACATCAGTTTTCATGCATCAAGAGTAATGCAACAGTTGCGTATTATTTTGAATGCTTGAATCAGTTAATCGTTGCATCATGTTAGGTTCGTTTGTATTATAATATTTAATTGAAGTATTTTCAATTTCAACTTTTTATTTATGCCTTATTTATTAATTTAGGCAAGGGGTCAGCTGTATTGTTGACGAGAACTATTTTTATCTTTCCGAACTGGTTTAACAATTAAGTTTCACTTAGTTCTTATAACGGCTGAAAAATAATAAAGTTACTTTAATAACTTAAAGTATTACAGGATGAACATGAGTTTGCTTCGCATATACCGCAAGCTTATGACGCAGATGTTAAATGACACTGTTGCGTGCAGCTTTTTATTTTTATATTACTCTGTAACATAAAGTAATATAATGTTTAGACAATTTATGTTAGCGCTATGGAATCAATGCATTCGGCTATGAATTAATAAAATGTATTGAAAATTATTTTTTTGTGTCTTTTTAACTAGTAGCCCGAACCACGGGTATTCGAGTAACTCGAGTATTGTTTTGAAAAGAAATCGATTAGCAGAAACCAGTAGTCCTGCAAGCGCTACCGAACACTGACTGTATGTATCCTGAGCTCCTGAACAAACTTCCCAGGGGAATAAAGCTGATTCTGATAACACCTCTCTGCTGTTTTGTGTGCAGGTATTGGAAAACGAAGCAGCTTTCTCCGAAGCGTCTGAGCACGGGGATCCTGATGTTCACGCTGGCCTCGTCTCTGTGTGAACAGGTGCATTTGTACGGATTCTGGCCCTTCGGCTGGGACCCCAACACCGGCAAGGAGCTGCCGTATCATTACTATGACAAGAAGGGCACCAAATTCACCACCAAGTGGCAGGAGTCGCACCAGCTGCCCACCGAGTTCAAGCTGCTCTTCAAGATGCACGCAGACGGAGTCCTCAAACTGAGCCTGTCCCACTGCGCCTGAAGGTCAGAGGGCAGAGGTCACGGAGTCAGGGCCGGAGTCTCGGTTGCACTAATGGATATTTGTGGTGGTTTTATATCAGCATCGAGCTCCTCAGTGGTGTGTTGGAACTAATTATGTCAGAGTTGTGATGGAAAGGAAAGTTGGTCACACTTTACAGTAAAGTCCAGTGCATTATTGGGTGTTTTCAAGTACAAAACATTCAACTTAATGAGGAAACAACGAGAAATGTTCCATTCATTAATATGTGCTGAATTTAAATAAACTCATTAAGCAAATTTTCTGCTATGAAACTCACGCGCAGGCTGATAGATCACCAAATCTGCTTCTGCATCATGGCGCAGGGGACTGGTTGCTGTCTCCTCGACAGCCAATGAGCTTGCACTTGATCAGTTTAAACGCTCCAAGTCATCTAATGCTGTTAAGCTGTGGTGTATTTTCGAAGGCCCTCCTCCACCCCAGCTCCACCTGTGTTAGAGCTGCTATCAACTTTCATATATATTATGTTTGCAGCAGCAGATGGCATGTCTGTGTATATACTGGCAGTAGCAGGTATCGGTACCTGCTCGGCCATAATAATCGAGTCGGCACAAGATCTATACCGCCAAGCAGGGCTTGACATTAACACCCGCCAAATGTGGGTAGATTTCAGCTGTGGCGGGTAAAGCCTGGTTTATACTTCTTTGTCAAGTGACCGGCGTAACCCACGGCGCATGCAACTCGTGTAGCTGTGCATTTATACTTCTGCACACTGTCTCTGTTGCTCTGCATTAACACTTCCGAAACGCTAGTTGGCAGTGAGGTGTAAATGTTCCTCTGTGTCGAGATTATTCGCTGTTGATTTGCTTTTCATGAACGCTTCCTGGTTGTACAAGTGGCTCAAACTCGCTCATTTTGAGGCAGGAACCGGCGGACGTGCAGCAACTTTAACTATGAGGTAAACACAAAACAAAACTTTCCATCCGGAGCTCCTTCATGAGACTCCACAGTTGTAAACAATCGCTCCATCAGGCTCGCAAAATTCACTCGGCTCTCGGTCCCGCCCAGACTCGTCAGCGCTACCAAGCCGACCAATCACAGAGCTTGGCCTACGCGTCGTTGCGACGTGTAGTTAAATTTTTTGAGAGGTGCGTACAGTGTATGTGTTCAACATATCTGAGTTCACTCCTCACAAATCTCTCTTTTAAATTAATATTTTAATGAGGAAGCTCTTTAATATTATATTTGTGCATTTACATTAAATTAGTCAGTACTGAAGCCAAATCTGCAGCTTATCTAACAAAATAACTTCCGATAACACTCCAAAAACTAGTACAGCCAAATGTATATGTTAAAGAAAAATATTAAATACACATTTAAAAAGAGGTAAAATCAAGACAAGCAAACATTTAGGTGAAACTATGTAGTTTGTCATTTATTTTTGCAATATTTTGCTTGAATTTAATTGCATTATCTTTCAATTCTTAAATATGTTTGGTGACTAAAATATTATTTTAACAAATAAATCTGTTTAATGAATCTGTTTTGTTTAAATACACCAAAATAATTGAGCTACATTCACAAAGAATTAGAGAAAAATATTCATTTTCAAAATAGGCTGTACTCGATTACACAGAGCACTGTACATATATATACAGGGTGGGCCATTTATATGGATACACCGTAATAAACTAACTGGGAATTTAACAAGAAAAACAATGGTGTGCTTGGTTTTAAACTTTATTCTTTTAAAAGGTATTTACAAGCCCCCTCACATACTATTGTGCCACAAACAGGAGTTTAATATCATCAACCATTCCCATTTTATTAAGGTGTATCCATATAAATGGCCAACCCTGTATGTATATATATATATATAATTAAGACCCCTTGATAATTCTTAGTTGCTTTGGATTTTTGATTTACAATAATGTAGATCAATAAAATGTTACTTTTGTTTTATTCTGTAAACTACTAATATTTCTTCCAAATCTAAGATAACATTTTTCGATTAGGGTGGCTCAAGGGTTAGCACTGTGGCCTCACAGCAAGGTCACTGGTTCGAGTCCTGGCTGGGTCAGTTGGCATTTCTGTGTGGAGTTTGCATGTTCTCCCTGCTGGCATGGGTTCCCTCTGGGTGCTCCGGTTTCCGCCACAGTCCAAAAACACGTGCTATATATATATATATATATATATATATATATATATATATATATATATATATATATATATATATATATATATATGTGTGTGTGTGTGCGATATATTTGGGGAAATAAATTGGCCGTATCGTATAAGTATGAGTGTATGAGTGTGTATAAGTGCTTCCTAGTACTGGGTTGCAGCTGGAAGGGCATCCACTGCGTAAAACACATGCTGGAATAGTTGGCGATTCGTTCCGCTGTGGTGACCTCTGATAAATCAGGGACTAAGCCAAATTAAAATGAATGAATGAATATTTATTGAGCATTTTATTTAGCATAAAATCATGTTTATAGTCACGTTTGAACTGCAGAAGAGCCAGTTAAATGATATTTAGTGAAATAACCCTAATTTTCAATCACAACAAATGAAAACATTTATTATTTTCACTTATAAAACATTGTTATATTGACCATTAGTCATTTTCTGAAAAAGAAACCTTTGCAGAATAACACAAATGGTAACATTTTATTCAAACCCACCAAGCCTCATTCACACTACGAGTGACTTGCACCGGCAAAGCGGCCGTTCATTTCAACGAAGAGCAAGCGACTTTCGGCGACCTCCATCTATGTGAGCGACAGAAATCGTTGGTGACCAGGTGGGCGTGTCGAGCGACCTGACAAAGTTGAGAATCATTCAACTTTATGCAAATGAAGCGCGACTCTTTTTTGCAACAGCCAATGGGTGCACCAGTGCTCTTGTGATCCTCTCTTGGATCACGCTGAGGCCAGTTGTATTCTCCGTACTATTCAGACCTGCAATTGCAGCAGGCATCTACAAAATCGCTCCTACTGTGAATGAGGCATAACTAATAAATCCTAATAAATCCTCTTAAATGCATAGAAAACTAAGAATTGTCTGATCTAATTATGTAAACATTACAGTAAAATGCACAAATATGCTTGTTTCCAGTCTAAATATCTTAAAAGTCTTAAATTAGGAAGCATTTTCTAGACAGGCAAAAAATATTGTCTTGATTTACGTCAAAATGAAGTGAGTTTTTCCTTAAAACAAGCAAAATATTCTGCCAAAGGTGACGGTTAAATAATCTTGTTTTCATTTTGACATTAGACTATTTTGCTTGCCCCGTTGGCAGATTAACTTAATTATTATTTGTCATGATCACCAGCCATCTAGTTGCTGCAGATCGCTCAAGAACTACAAATCTGCCATTTATGGACTACAAATCCCAGTCATTTAACACACACACTCAACCGGTTCCTGATCCTGCTCTGTAACCGGGGATGTGACACAGACAACAGGGTGTGGATCCAAATGCAGGCTTATTAGCGAGGTCAGGTAAGCAATGGTCAACACAGGGGCAAGCAGATGTATAAGTGTGATCCAGAGACATAGTCAAATACACAGGCAGATGGTCAGACAGGAAAACATAGAGAAACAAGGCGAGGATCAAAACACGGTAAAGCTAGACAATGGAAACGCATTGTGATGTCACTATATACTGTAGCTAACAATACTCAGCAATGAGCCGTATATATGTGTGTGTAATCAGTTCTTGAGCAGCATCAGCTGTGTGTTTGCAATCCGTCAGGATCAGGAACCGGTTGTGTGTCTTAGTTGCATGACTGGGTCTTGTAGTCCATAAATGGCAGATTTTATAGTCCTTTAGCAATCTACAGCTGCTAGATCGCTGGTGATCATGACATTATTATATCTAAATTATATCTATTTATAGTTATTTCTGAAAACAAAACAATATTTTTGGCTTTTCTTAAAAATGCTTCTTGATTTAAGATTTTCGAGATAGTTGGACTAGAAACGAAAACAAAATGCAGTGTATTATTAACAATTCTTAATGTTGATTGACTGTGCATTTATTATTTTTAACACGTGCAACATTTGATCCCCAAATCATTTCAGTCAGTGTTGAAATGAGCATTGTGGATCCTTACTCTAAAGTGTGTCCGATGGGTTTGGTCAGCTTCTATCAATGCAATTTATTAAAATAGCATCATGTTACAGTATAATCAGAATATAATGCAAATGTTATTGAATGTAATGCACATACCAGAAAATATTTCATATCACTGGGAAGGTTTATATATCTAGAGACCAAAAGTTGGGGTGAACTCAAGTATATCTTCACCTAGCAACCAACATCGACACCCTAGCAACCGCAAAAACTCCAGTGACTAGAGTGTTGTGGTTGAGACTCCTGCACATAAACACGTTCTGCAGAAATACATAGTTTTGTATATAGTCACAGAGGACAACCATATGGAAGCGTATTTGCTTAAAAAGGTAATTGCAACTTTTTTTTGTCTCACAATTTTGACTTTTTCTTGCAGTTGTGAGTTTTTATCACACACTTTGGACACTTTTTATATATATTTAAAGCTGAATTACAACTTGTAAACTTAACATAAACTCACAGTTGTAAAAGCGTCTGAATTTAAAAAGAAAAAGTTATAATTCCTTGACAACAAATCTGAATTAAAAGATGTACACTCAGAATTCTGAGGAAAAAAACTTTAAATCTGAAACTTAAACAGAAATTTTTAGGAAAATTCATAATTCGGGATGTGAATTTTGGGGGAAATCTAAATTGCAAGATTAAAAATAACAGAATTGTGAAATGCAAAGTTGGAATTTTGGTGGAAAAGTCAAAGTTTTAAGACGTGAATGCAGAATTCTGAGGGAAAATTCTGGAGGGAAAGCCAGAATTGCAAACCTAAAACTCATAATTCTAAGGGAAAAGTTGGAATTGTAAGATGTGAACTCGGAATTTGGAGACAAATGTCGGAATTGTGAGATTTAAACTAGGAATTCTAAGGGAAAATTCGGAATTGTAAGATGTGAACTCGGAATGCTGAGTGAAAATGTCAGAACTGTGAGAGGTAAAGTTGGAATTTTACTGTACTGTACAATCAGAAGTTTGCAGGAAAAGTCTGAATTATGAGAATTATGACATGTAAGGTTGTACAGTAAAGTTGTAAGTTATAATAAAGTAAATGTCAGAATTTTAAGATTAAACATAAAGTTGGAATTTTAGGGTGAAAAAGTCAAAATTAAGAAAAAAAGATTTCAACTCGGAATTCTGAGGGGAAATTCTGAATTGCAAAATGTATATTTAACTTCAGAATTTTGCAGGAAAAGCTAACAAACAGTCAGATTTAAAACTGAAACTCTTGGGTGGAAATGAGAGTTGCAAACCTTAAGCTCTAAATGCTGAGGACCACTCTGAATTATAAGATGTAAACTCTTCTGATTGTGAGATGAAAATAGGAATTCTTGGTCAGAAAATG